ATACACAGGAATCTTTTCAGCCAGCCCGAAGTCACCCACAACAGCTGTGAAGCCTCGGTCTTCCCGTCGGATCAGACAGTTCTTGGACGTGAGGTCTCGGTGGAATACCCCTTTGGCATGCAGGTACCGCAGGCCACGGGCGATGTCCAAAGCCAGGCGGAGCCGGACAGGCCAGGATAGGGGTTCGGGGGAGCTGAGCAGCTGTTCCAGGGTCCCCCCGTTCATATACTCTGTAAGAGCGTGCAGCTGCCCTTGGTGCATGCAGACCCCCATGAACCTTAGGATGTTGGGGTGCCGAAGCCGGTTCATCAGCTGCACCTCCCTTAGCGTGTTTCCCCGGTTACTAGGGAGCCTGTTCATTTTCAGCACCATGACTTGCCCTGACTGTCGGTGCCGAACCTGCGGGCGGTAGCGGATGGCTAGTCCCGCGCAGGTCGGGATGACTGCCAGGGTCCAGGCCCCTAGTTCCAGCCTCGCGTCTGAGGCTCGGTCCCGCCCCTCTGCCCTCTCTGCTGGTCCTACCTTGTAGACCTCAGAGAAGAAGCCGGCCCCGATCTTCTCGGCGCAGTGGAAATCGTCCACGCGTGCCAGGCTGGACACGGCGCTGCGGAGAGCCCGGTAGGAGGAGGGGCGGCCCCGGCCCGGGCCTCCTCCTGCGCCCCCCGGCCCCGGGGGCCCCTCCCCCGGCGCCTCTCCAGGCCCGGGCCCAGGGCCCCGTAGTGGGGGCCGTTCCCCGGCCATGGCCGGGCCCCCAGGCCGGGGCCTGCCTCACATGGCAGGGTCCCCGGGCCCCGGGCAGGCCGCGCTCGCCATGGGAGCGGGCCCAGACGGATCAGGGGCGCCCGGGATCCCGCTCCTGCCCTAGAGAATAGAAGATTCGCCGAAGATCCTGGGCCCGCCCCCGCCTCGCCGGCTCGCTGGGCCCGGATGGACGCCGCTCCGCTCCGCTCTGCGCAGGGCCTGGGCCTGGGCCTGGGCCGGGCGGTGGAGGTGGCGCTCCCGGGCGCCGGCGGGCAAGCGGGCCGGCTCCCCGCAGGCGGAGGCGGGCGGGAAAGGAAAACTGATTCTTTAAGTTTATAGTCTCTTAAAGCTATTATTTCTTGAGTCATATCTTGATACCTACAGTATCTGTGCTTTATGGCCTCTCCTTCCTTTATTTTGAAGAGTCCCAATATTAAATCAGTTTTCAGAGAGGAACCAAAAGCAGGCAGACAATTATAAACATATTTCACTCTGGATGTCGTTGTTTTTTGCCAATAAAGTGTGCAAATGAGTTGCAAAATGCATTCAGTTGTGGGGTAGAAATATTCAAGATTATATTGCTATTTATCTCTGAGAAGCAAATCTTTCTTGGGTTTTTTACATGTTAGATCTATTTATTTGTCACATTGTGGGAAGAAATGTTGAAAGGTTGCAAGGAAAGATAAGGAGTAGATGAACATGGTCAAGAGGCTACTGAGAAAGTGAATTTTTGGCAAAGTTTTGAAAGTAAATGTGCAATGATAGGGAAAAAAGGATGTTTCCTAAGATAACCTAGACTTTTAAAAAATTAGATTTCTTTATTAATCTTTGTTATCTTGTATGTTAAACCATGGGATTAAATAAACTTAGTATCATTGGTTGCCTACAATTTAAAGGTTTAGAAACCAAGATTTGGGTAATAAGTTGTTTCCTGTCTCTAAATGTATTGTTGGAGCATATTACTTAGTTCTAGATACTGTAATTGATACTGAGCATCTCTCTCTTGGCATCAGGAGTTTGAAGTTGTGGGAAACAAGGTAAATGTGAAAGGTTCAGAGTATAAAATGTAATCTAATTGAATATATATATTTTATGTCTTATTTCTTAATAATTGAAAATGGTTGACTTGATGCAAACATGGTTACTTAGTTGCTACGTCGATTTCTGTGTTATAAGTGGACATTTAATAGGCAGATATCCTTTATTACTTATGTTTGAGATATATTAAAAGCAGAGACCTAGATGGAAATAAAAATAAACTTTACTTATATGTCACAAGCATTTATTTTCTCTGATTTACTTTTTCCTAAAGTAATTACTTTTAAACTGTTGACAGCATAGATTTGAAAATGCATTTACAACAGTGATTATCCCTAAGCAGCATAATGTATCATCTGTCCTTTTTATTTGACTTTATTCATATGTCTTCTACAGATGGGGGAGGTAAAATAAAGCGCCGTATATTTGTAAGGAAGGCGTTTTACTTTCCTTTTTCATACTATTTTCCACCTTTATTACAAGATAGTTTTTCTGTTGAGTTCTTCTCTTTGAGGGCCTTTTCATTTCCTTCGTTTAAGTACTGAGATTGTGGAGGTTTTTTGTTTTACGTTTGCCTTGCTATTCTCTCACAGTGATAAGAGTTATACCAGCTTTCCCTCTGGTACATTTAATACATATGATATTAGAGAGTTGTCTGGAACTACTCACGTAGACATGAAATTTTACTCGAATAAGTATTTATTTGAGCATTGAGTTAGATGTCTATGATGCCCTATCTTCCACTCTCTGCTCAGTAAACTAATAGTGTTGTCTCTAAACTGTTTCTGACTCATCTAAAGGTTAATGTAGCAGAAAATAAAATTTATCTTCAATTTTACCTTGTTGGTGGAATCATTTGGGGGTTGAATGTAATCATCTGACATATTCTGAACACCTTTTGGGGAATAATGCTTAATCTACATTTATCTGTATTATTGAGAAGATACAGGGAAAAGTCAATAGTATAGATTATGTTTCTCACATTTGAATTGAACCTGATATGAACACCTGATACAGCATATATAGTGTTATCCTTAGTGGACACTCAGTAAATACTCGTTCATTAAGAAAGGAGACGGGTTCTATATTCAGCTCTGCCACTTAATAGACAGTTTTCCTTCTTCTGTACACACTCTTTTAGAACTCAACTGGTTTGCATCTCACTAAGACAAATTAGAGGGCCAAATAATACAATGGGTCAAAATACTGAGTGTTTTCATATATATGGAACCTAAAGAGATAGCACTGATGAATTTACTCTCGGGGCGGCGAAGGAGAAACAGACATCGAGAACAGACCTATAGACACGGGGGTAGGAGAGGGGGAGAAGGGGAGATGAATGGAGAGAGTTGACAGAAATGTACAGTACCGCGTGTGAAACAGATAGCCGGTGGGGATTGCTGCGTGACTCAGGGAGATCAAGCAGGGCCTCTGTGACCGGGTGGGGTGGGGAGGGAGGGGACGGGGGTACCTACGGCTGATTCTTGTTGATGCATGACAGGAAACCACAACATTCTGTAAAGCAATTAAGCTTCAATTAAAAAATTAAAAACGAAAACACAGCGTTTTAAAGAAAAACAGCTGGCACTGGCACGGTGTGCTACTCTGAAGTGGGGAGGACGAGACCTGAAACGGAGATGCTGCTTTGGGATAAAAGTGGCCAGATTGGGTGAAGAGAGATCATGATTTAATCCAGGTGTCAAACCAGAGACATTTTGCAGCAAGAAATGGTTCTGTCATTTGGGAATATAGACTGGTATAGGACGTAGAGATTGCCTAGGGGCTAGAGTCATTTTATTTCTTTAATGAATAACCCAAATATCATTTGGCCCTGGGCCAGTGAGGGAGTGGTTAATTTCTGGGATTCTTTAGAATCATTTTGAGAGTAATTTCTTTTAATTATTAGTCTTCCTGTAATTAAATATAGAACATTGAATTTTGACACACACCCTCTGCTTCCTACCCACTGTCATTTATTTCAAACCCACTCTTACCCAATACTCCATGGAGTCTCCGCTTTCTTTTTACCTGTTCTTCCATCTGTTTAAGAACTTCTCACCTATGGCACTGTATAAGGTAAGAGTGTCTCTGTGTGTCAGTTTGCGACCAGTGCTCATATGCCAGGTAAGTGTCTGGGTGTAAGCTGCTTCAGACTCACTCTAGCATTACGATGGCACTGCTGCTTTTCTCTAAGGAGCCATGCTGCCCCTGAGAGCAAAAAATGGAGTGGACTCTTAACCCTCCTTTTTCTTCTCCTCTTGAACTGAAACTGGAGTGTTGTAGTTCTCCTTGTAGTTGGAAGTTTCTCCCTTGGCGCAGTATCAAGGGTTGCTGGTTCAGTTCTCGTCCCTCCAGAAAGTAAAGCACTACCCACCTCTCTCCCTCATCCCTTTTTAAATCAGCTTCAGTATTTGAGTTTCAGAGAAAGGTGTTCACAGTTCCTAGACTCAAGTCCAGAACAGGTTGCTAGAGGAAGCTTTTCTGGGGTCGGGTGTCCTTGTGGGTCTCATGGTCCGGCTGCTCTTCCCTGGACACCATAGAGCAGTCTCTCTGTCTGCGAGATCTCTCAGTTCCTGCCCTTGGGCTTCATGTGACCCTGAGATTCAGGCCACTGCAGTCATTTGGCTTCTCCTAGAATCTCACCCTCTTTCATGGCATCCTTCAACTGTTTATTTTTCTATTTTAACTTTTAATGTTTTTTTGGTACACCACATCTTAGTCGTTGCACACGGGGTCTTTTAAGTTGCCACATGCAGTATCTTTATTGCAACATGTGAACTTAGTTGGAGCATGCAGGATCTAGTTCCCTGACCAGGGATCGAACCCAGGTCCCGTGCATTGGGAGCATGGAATCTTAGCCACTGAACCACCAGGCAAGTCCCTCCTTTGACTCTTTTCAAATCCTGCCACTACTGATTGATGGAACACTTACTACTGTTTCTCTAGGTAATTTTAAAAATCCTCCTTTGGAGGAGACAGATTGAATGAAAAAGAGGTACTAACTTGCCCTGGAAGATTTGAGTAGAACCACCTAATGTCTCCATTTGCTTTTGTAGATCTAAAATAAAATAGGTTAGAGGAACTTCGGAATGTAAGAATTAGCCAGTAGGCCAGCTTCTAGCTATAATTTTTATGAAAGAATCAAAGAAGAATGACCAGATAACTATTAATACATCTTTTATAAATTTTGGTTTTGATGTCAGCCTTTTATTTTTCTTCAGTTGCTTTAGGTCGTAACCAGCCTTTGAAAAAGGAGAAACCTAAATGGAAAAGCGATTATCCCATGACAGATGGACAGCTGCGCAGCAAGAGAGATGAATTTTGGGATACCGCACCAGCTTTTGAAGGCCGTAAAGAGATTTGGGATGCCTTGAAGGCTGCAGCACATGCTTTTGAAAGCAATGATCATGAACTGGCACAAGCAATCATTGATGGTGCAAACATAACGTTACCACATGGTAGGTTTGGTTATCTTCCAGAACAAAGTAGAACATCATCAACTCCTTTCTAATGGCAAGAAACCAAATAGGAAGTGTTCATTTTCCTACTATGCATTATTCTAGCTGTTTTCCCTTCAGTGTAGTGAAGACGAGCATTCCTCTTTGCTTCTTTTAGCTGGAGATAGGTTTACTGTGTGTGTGTGTTTTGGTCTCAAGAAAGAGAACACTCAATAAACCTGTATTTTCTTTTTTATATATATTTATTATTTATTTAGCAGCACTTAGCTGTGGCATGCAGAATCTTATAGTTGTGGCATGTGGGATCTAGTTCCCTGACCAGGGATAGAACCCGGGCCCCCTGCATTAGGAGCATGGAGTCTTAGCCACTGGACCACAGGGAAGTCCCTAAACCTGTATTTTCTAACTTCCATATAATCTAGTTCTCCATCAAGGTTTCCCCCTGCCCCAGTCTTCTAGAGCTTCTACTTCACTGATTTCCTGCTTGCACTAGAGAAGTAGTCTCAGATTAGATCTCAGAAGCCATAGAGTCAGTGAACTCACCTTTAGTCACTGTCCTCCTTTGTCAAGGCCTGTTTTCAGCATAATGAACAAACCTAAACTTGGAAGTGAGTCTTACATATTTTTAAGGACAGTTCTATGATTGACCTGTCTCCTTTGCTTAGGAATGTGACTCTAAGAACCACTGTAAGCTTCGAATGTTTCCAGGAACACATATATCGTGGACACAGGCATATCTTCATGTTTAGTCTCCTGGATTAGAAACAAATTTCATGCTATACTAAGATTTAGATGTTAATTTTATATTATAATTTTGTTCTGTTGTTTACTGTATTTATAAATTTTTCTCTTCACTTTTTCAAGTTAATGTTTTTCTAAGTTGTCTCTTGTTCCTGTATAATCCTTTGTGTAGCTTTCTATTTCTTTTTGTTGTTGCTGTTATACTTCTATTGGTTGTTTCTTTTTCAGTATCCTCCTATTTTTTCTCCCCCACCTCCCCTCCCCAGGAATCTTTAGTAAAAGAGAAAAGATTCATATGATCTGAAGAGAAACACAGCGATGGATCAGTATCTTCCTTTATTTGTCTACGTTTTGAAAGGAGCACTGCTTTCCACTGTTTAATTCTTTGCTTTATGTCTTTTGCTGCTGCTGCTAAGTCACTTTAGTTGTGTCCTTTCTTTGTCAAGTAAAGGATGTTCAACTTAGTAGCCTTCCAGTTTTCCAAATCTCCATTATTTTTTGAATTAACTGCATGTCTAAGAAACTTTAAAAATATATATATATTCCATAGCTATCTTCTTATTTTATTAATGAAAGCTTATTAGCATGGTCTTGGGTTAGTAACATTGGCACCCACTATATATAGGTCACTTTTTCTACACAGGTATAAAAATGATCCCTTCTACTTTTGAAAAATTTATAATAGAATGCTATTTCAGTATGACTCTTTAGTTGGTATTTTCATGGATAATCTCTGAATTCTTTACCTCTTACGTGACTGAGGTAGACATCATTTTGCTCCATTACTTTTTTTAGTTCTATAATTTGTCTTCAGATACTATCTTTATATAATATAAAGGGAGGGGCTTTCCTTTATAAGTAGTTTTATCATCCTTCTCTTTTTAGTGCTTGTGAGTGAGGGGGTGAAAGCTGCTCAGGCCTGTCCGACTCTTTGTGGCCCCGTGGACAGCACAGCGCGTGGAATTCTCCAGACCGGACACTGGAGTGGGCAGCCTTTCCCTGCTGCAGGGGCTCTTCCCAACCCAGGGTCGAACCCAGCTCTCCCTCACTGCAGGCGGATTCTCTACCAGCTGAGCCACCAGGAAGCCTCTCCCTTCTCTAGCGGATCCTCCCAACCCAGCAATCAAACCGTGGTCTCCTGCATTGCAGGTGGATTCTTTACCACCTGAGCTATCAGGGAAGCCCTTGTATTCTATTTAAAGCAGAATATATTTGTATTTCTAAGGCCTACAAGTGAAGTTGGGGGTGTTGTCTATCTGTGGTTGTCTTAATTTAGAAGCTCAAGACCCAGAAACTTAGAACTTTAACTTCCTTACTTTCATAGTTACCTATGGGAAAATCTGACTTTGTTCAATAAATTATGGCCTAGTTTACAAGTTCATGGAGGCATCACAGCTCTGTTTTATTTAAGGCGGGGCCTACACATATGGGCTCAATCTCTAAAAACTCAAGTCTCTCACTTCTGCTTTTATCTGTGTGACTGAAGAGTGATGATCCTTTCAACTCCAGCAACTGACAGATTAAGAAGTATTCTTGGAAATTTGAGAATATTAGATGAGCTTCTACTCTTCCCCTCTATGTTAAGGAATGTTTTCTGCTTTAGCATGAAAGACTCAAATAGACTTTCTCAAGCTTTCTGTTTGAAAGTTCTATAATAACTTCCTATGTATTATTATCATTGGTACCCTTGATTGATTTCCCTTGTTCATATCTGAAACTTACCAATAATGTTTCTTGAATGGACTTTTAAATTATATTTTGCCATGTACTCTAACTCACCATCAGTTTATAGCTTAGTTACTTAGTTAGATGTTTTTACCTAGACCTCCTCAGTGGTATTGGTGAAATCCCTTCCATCTTTTAGATGTAATTATGTAATTGAAATTTTATATTTGACATGTTTTGTTGTGTTAAACCCTAAAATCCTAAAGTATTCAATACTTCATATTTTGAGTTTAAAACATCTATGTGCCTTTGGGCAAATCACTTCTTTAAGCTTCAGTTCTCTCATCTGTAAAATATGGGTTGTAAGTACCTTTCTTGTAAGGTGGTTGTATTGATTAAATGTGGTAATAACACATGTAAGTTGCTTACCCTGGTCCAAAACACACTTAATAAATAGTAGTGCTGATGATTGTATTTCTTGAACTCTGACATTAACAAGTAAATTCCTTGCACCAAAATCTTAAATTATAGATTTCAGTCATTTTCTGGATGTAATATTTACTGGTGACATCTTTCGTTGGTTTTAAGGTATCCTTCTCTTGGGCATATGCCTGATGGAATTTTGAGGTTAACGTTGATTCAGTGCAACAGCAGTAATAGATTTGTTAATTTATTAATTTCTGTGAGGACATTGTTAGCTGAGCATCATCTCACACCTGACTTGTGCCTATCCCCTTTGTCTACAGTGGTCAGTGGTGTTCACACGCTTACTGAACTGATCATAGACTGACAGCCTGGGGAGATCCTAGGATATATGCTTCTTTCTAAATTATCTCCTGTTTTGTTTTCATCTCATCCTCTCTTCTCTTCCCATAGTCTTTTTGTTATCTCAGGCTTACTCATGTTATCTTCCCAGTATAAATATTATAAAAAACTCTTTAAAGTATGAAAGCCGTATGAAAATGTCTCTGTAAATGTCTTTGTAAATAAGCAAGGACTGTGCTCGTCTTGGTTTGCTGTATTTAGTGTCAGTGTTGTGTGCATAAAAATTGTGTGTCTTTCCATGGCCTGTTTTCTTGTGTTACAAGGAAACAACAAAAAACCTTTTCCCTATATTTTCTTCTTCGTTTCTTTTTCTTACAGTGGTTCCCTTGATAACTACATGTGTTTTATCTTAATTCTAGTCAGCAGCCATATTCATTATATTCCTGCCTTGTGCAAGCATAAAGTAAGTCTATGCTTTTAAATTATCTTCCTCTGTTATTATCAGTGAGAAATCTTTAGTTTGTTTTTCTCAAAAGGCAGTAGCAATTGTGTTGAGGGAAGTTGGTGTCCTAAAACTACCTGGGGATTTTATATATGAAGGTGTGTTTTCACTGTGGAAATTATGACTCAGGTAGAGGATGGTATGAACATGTGTAATAGTGTACTGTTGTGGAAAAAGCTCCCTGGATGATTCTAATGTCTGGTTCTTCTTTTCCACCGCCTTCCCATCCTAAAGGAGCTTTATTTTTCATTATTTACACAGCATTTTTTACTCATGGTCTTAAATTTCTTAGAGCTTATTTTCTTTTTCTAGTTGAGTACTGTTTTATCACTACCTAAAATTCCCCCAAACAGATTATAGATTAAGTGGCTTGCCCAAATTAGCATAAACAGGGTGAAAAAAAAAGTTGGTTGTTTTCATTTTCATTTTTCACAGTCTGGTTCATAGTGGTTATTCTAATATTTTCAGTGAAAGGTTGTTCAGAAACAATATATGTTTATCTTGTAAAGAGGAGGATTTAATTCTGTTTCTTAAATTACTATTTAGAAGATATACAACGATTTTAAAAATTGCCTGCTTGCCTTCCATGGAACATTCCCTACCTTCTAGAAAAGTTTTTTTTTTCTTTAGCATGTACAGTTAGTATGTTTTCCAACTCCCTGCAGTTCACATGTAAAAGCTCCCTTCTTAACCATCCTTGTGTAGGAGGAGGAACTGTTCACCTCCCCAAACACTTTTCTCATACTTAAAGACTTAACCCCAACTTTATTCTTACTGCTCTTCACTAAACATTACCAGTTCTTCAGATGAACTTTTGAAGGCCAGAACACATACCTTTTTTAATCACCTTCAAAATACAGGTGGGAAAGGAGTTGCCCATTTTCTTTTCTTTTTCCTGGTCTTTCTTACTGCAAAATATATCAAATGTAAATAAATTAAATTACATATAATGCAATTTAAGTTTTTAAAAAACCAAGGCACTTAAAAGTATCATTCATGGAGCATTTCTGTGTTTAGGGAACCAACATGATAAAAAATCGTGGACTGAGAATCAGAAATAATAAAATACTACCAATTCATGTTTTGAATTGATATTATTTAATTTTCACCCTGTGATAATCACCTACAACAGTCCCTATTTTAAACAGATGAGAAAACCGAAGCACAAGGAAGTTATGTCATTTTTCCGAGGGAGAAGTCATGAAATTGGGTTTTAAACTCCAGTCCTAGATCTAACTAACTAAAGCCGTTAAATTACAAGGTCAAATAATTTCATCTGTGTTTTCTGTGAAGTTACTGCACAAGTAATCTCCAGTGTTAAATCCAT